TGCAAGTTCTGCGCCTAAGTAATAAGAACTCTGCAAGTTTCATCCTCTGAATAGGAAAATAGCACAGTGAACTTATTCTGCGCTCCGTAATTTGCTCAATCACTGTTCGCCTTACTTCGCACGTACTCTTGTGTGTGACAGCACTACAATACAGGGTGTCAGTAAAATTTCATGCACAGGGATGCATATATTGTCAGTTTTTATGGCCAAAGGCTGATCATAAGTCAGAAAACAATCGACCTCTAGCTGTACGAAAAATATTGTACAACATCGGCGTTTTTTTCGATATGAAGCTTGTCCCGTTTAACCTCATCAGTGAGACGAAGCAGCACTCGGAGACCAGGAAAAGAACAGATCGAGAAGATTTTAAAGTACTCAAACTCTCTGAATCAGGCTCTAAATGGGGCGGAAGTAAAACGGTTAGAAAAGCGACTTTTGGGAGTGGTCAGCGAATGACAATCGGATGTGTTGTATAAGACACTGGCAAGCGTGGACAATAGTCAGAACCTCTGACCAAAATCAGATCGAGAGATCAGGCGGAAGTGATCTCAGGTAAAATAGACACTGATCAAAAGATCCGAGTATCAGCCTTATCAACTGCTATAGCATTGCAACAATATTCAGAGTCACAACTCAGAGTCACAACCTTCATTGAGTTCACAGTTTAAAAGTCATAAGGTGCGTCCTCGGTATCTATGAAGCATCGATTAGCCGAACCTCCAGTCCAGAAACAACAGTTGACAGAAATCGCTATTTACTTGAGTACTACAGGACAAGGAAAAGAGCCGAAACTACGAAAAACTTCTGTAGTCTCAATTCGAACCTAACTGAATTCGAAAATTTGGCCGAACCAATGAGCAACCCTCAACAACGATGGTGACTCTGAAGAACAACAATGTACCGCACTAATTTGCTAGTTTGTCGCTGTCACATGAGAGAAACAGGAACAGCGAAAGAGTGGATTCATGATGTTCGATTGTGTGACGTATTGCAAGGGAAATGTTGAGGAAGCAGTTTTAAGTTACCCCTAAGGTCCACTGTCAAAGTATAAATTGCGCTCTTCTCTAATATGGCTGAAACATGGTGTTTTCGGTGGAATCATTCGGCACTATGCTCGATTAACGAACGCAAACTAATTTAAAACGGGGAGTGCGCTAGAACAGCGATGAGGAAACAGAAAATGAGGAAAACGACATGAACGCCTTGCCAGATGAAGGTTCATTAGTCGCGCACTACTTAAGTCATGTATACAGCACATGTCATGCAATAAATTGAAAGCGCCTTGGCATACGCCAAGGAGGCGAACGATCAAGAAAAAATACGACTTCTGACTGGCGCCGAAGCCAGAGATAGTGTTGCTAGGCTTCCGCAAAATCGGTCGTTGAGTACGGAAGCATGACAAAGCGAAGTACTGTAGCTTCCTTAGTAACAACAGTTAGGTGGGTAGCCATCTGGACGTAGACCTCACTAGTAAATCTTCCATGCCGGATGCGATTTAGGCACTTGATTTTGTCGCGTTCATCTCCATTCCTGTGCTATCAGCCAGAAATGCCATTCAGCAAAGACAACTGGCCCATGGCTGTATGGTGAGAGGCGTTCAAATTCACTTTTCGTTCCCTACAGAGTGATATTCCTCAGCCTCAGAAAGATGGAAGTCAAGTGACTCAACCGGAGCTCGAGCACGGGACCACTCGATTGTGAGTCGGGCCCTGTACGAGTGAGCAGTCTCGGTAGGTGACAGACAGGATTACGGTAGGCACGTTCTAGCACGAGTGCGCTGTTAGAACCGTGAGAACTGGTGTGCCGTAAGGTGTGAGGTTGCGGTGGACAGACCGATGGATACCAGTGCTGGCAGCATGGCGACCAAGCGTACGTGTTGCGCTTGCAATGCAAGAAACTACTGCCGGCGTAGGCGACGGGGGGCCGGTGCCACTGATGACCCAAATGCTTCCTGTTTGTTGTAACGTGGTGCGGGGACGGCTACAGGCCGGTCGCTTGAGTCACAGGTGCCGACCGGTCAGTCGGATCGGTTGCAGCAAAGGCAGCGAAAGCGACAACCGGTTGACGATGTCGTTGTCGACGGACGACAATCGAACGGGTGACATTAAACGCAGATGCGGCGCGACCGAACGGCTCTGCTGAAGCTATTATCTGCCAGCAGTGCAACCCCGAGCGGCATCGACTCGCAAAAAGCTGTCGCGCACAAAAGCAATCGACGCGTTTTCACCCAATCACCGTCCAAATTAGTACTTAACACGCTCCGCCACCACCGCCGCTACAGTACGCCGGAAAGTAAACACGCTCACAAAGGGTACTCACCGACGCCACCTCCGTTGCTGCCGGCGCCGGGCTTTGGGATCAAAGCGGCCACGTCCCCGCTCTTGTCGCCACCTGCCGCCGCAATGGCGTTCAAGTGGTCACCGAAGTTTGCACCGACGCAGGAGACGGGCAGCAAGGTACCGGGGCCCGCCGAGAACAGGGTTCCAATATCATTCATGGCCGTCGCGTACGAGGAGCTGTCGAACTTGATCCGGTTCATCCATGCCTGAAATCATGCATTTCTCCTTTGTTTCACCGATGCCTGGGAAAAAGTCGCCGGTACTACCTGAGCTGCTTCTGACCGATTAAATGAGTGCTCATCCGGTTCTGACTTGATCGCTAAAAACTACAGTCAGAGTCCAAGGTGTCAACATATATCCTCGTTACCAACCTCCTGTGTTCCGCCCTTTGGCACCGCCAACCGGACCCTCGATACCCAGAAGGCCGCTGATGGAATAGTGACCGTTACGCGCAGTCGAGTACTCCTGCACGGGGGGCGCATGCGCTATGACGGATGTAGTGTTGGTCGTGTGCAGAAGGGACGCTGGAGCTGAGAACGACGGAGATCTCCGATGGTCAGGAGTTCCAGTGGAAGAACTCCTTCTTTCTGTATTCTTCATTGCCTTGTCCATTGTCCTATTCCTAACAATCCTATTTCGAAGAAGATATTACTGATGACAAGAAGTAACATCTCAAGCGATAGTACGTCGGCTGTGATGTACCTATTGATGCTGCTCACACTGGGCACGTTGTCATGATCACAAACTGCATCGCTGAGAAGTCGATCTCGTATCTCCCACGCGAACATTGTAGGGTTCTGCTTCTTGTACGCGGATATGGCTTCCACGACCTTCGCTGTGGCCACTTTTGGCTTTGAGCCTCCAATCACCCCTGGCCTGATCGAGCCTGTTTCGTAATATCTGAAAGAAAATCAATTTAGCCGGCATAACTTAGGTCAAACGTTTTTCAACAGGTGTGCACTTAAGGTCATAACACTGATTGCAGAAGCACATGGCTAAGCATTGAGTATATTACTTAAAGCAGAGAAATGAGGGTTGATGAATAGTGTCCCCGTGGCATTAAGGAAAAAATATCAATATCTTCAGGAGGGTAGCTGGAGGATCAAGGGAAGAAGACGTATTTCTTGATTTCCACTAGGAAAAGACTGCGGAATGAAAACATTAGGTAGACGTGAGGGAATGAAGTCCGTCATGGCAGTTTTAAAAGGACAGATAATGGCCAGGCCAGCTCACACGAGTAAAAACTGACAAATTGACTTTACAGACCGTACTAAAATCGAAACGCCGACTAAATAAGCACGCAAATACTGCAACCACTCGGCCAAAAGATCTCCGTCCGTATGGGATGACGAGCTAACAAAGAAACACGGAAGTTTGTAACCACAAACTGCATGACACAGACAAAGGTGCCCCCCCCCCAAAAGAGAACTTTCTTAATCAAAGCAGCTGATGTATTGTTTCTTAAAAACCCTGTTACCAC